GTGCATCTAGGACACCTCCGTCGAGTGTTGGACGTGATGCGAGCGAACAAGCTCTACGCCAACATCGACAAGTGCGTTTTCGCGTCACCAGAGATCAAAGTTCTCGGTTGCTTCGTAAGCAACGTGGGCGTTCGGGCTGACCCAGACAAGGTCAAGGCCATAGCAGCATGGCCGACGCCCCGATCCCAGAAGGATCTTCGAAAGTGGTTGGGTTTGGCCAACTACCTTCACAAGTACAGCGCTGGGTACGCGGGCTTCGCTAAGCCTTTGTCGAGCCTCCTTCAGAAGGACGTCGACTGGCGCTGGGAGCAAGAGCACCAGGATGCTTTTGACAGCATCAAGGCCAGTCTCCAAGAGGCCCCTGTCCTGGCTCTGCCGGACGAGACGAAGCCGTTTAGCGTCGTCTGCGATGCCTCCGATTACGCCATCGGGTGTGCATTGCTGCAGGACGACACGGCTGGACAGGAACGAGTCATCTCATTCCAGTCCAGGCAGCTCAAAGCCGCCGAGCGGAACTACCCTGTCCATGACAAGGAGCTCCTGGCAATGAAATATGCCCTTGTGAAGTTCCGTGTTCACCTTCTGGGTTCTACGCCCTTTGTGATCTACACAGACCACGCGTCCTTGAGGACGGCGACTAACTCGCCTCACCTCTCCCAACGGATGGCGAGGTGGCTGTCCTTCTTCGCGGAATATAACTTCCGCGTCGAGTACAAGCCGGGCAAGCTCAACGTGCTTGCGGACGCCCTCTCTAGGCGTCCCGACTATGAGTTGGCCCACATCACGCGGGTGACAACGGATCTATATGATCGGATACGCATGGCGTATCGGGACGATGAGGCTGTCGCGCCTATCGTCAAGTTCCTTAAGGCCGGAACGAGCGCGAAGTCCGACTGGCTCTCGTCGCGACAGCGCTCACGGCTCCACCGATATGAGTTGAAGGAGGGCCTCCTCTATTGTCGGGTAGAGCCCACTGATCCTCCACGGGTGGTTGTACCCAACGACGAGGATCTGAAGTTCGACATCCTCGCGGAGGCGCATGACGCGCCCTCCAGCGGCCACTTGGGCCGCGAGAAGACCTTTCTGTCGGTCTCTCAGTCCTTCTGGTGGACCCACATGTACAAGTGGGTCGCCCGGTACGTCAAGACATGTGAAACATGTCAGCGGGTTAAACCCGCAGGGCACTCTTCGGCTCCACTACAGAGCCTGCCCGTACCGGCTGATTGTTGGAAAGTCGATGAGTCTTGACTTCATCTTTGGGCTTCCCGCCGACGGACACGGCAACACCGGAATTTTGGTGTTCGTGTGTCGGCTGAGCAAGATGGTACATCTTGCTCCAGTTCCCGTCACTGTGACGGGCGAACAAACCGCAAGGTTGTTCGTCGATGGCGTGTTCCGCTATCACGGTCTCCCGGAGACGATTGTCTCGGACCGAGACCCGCGGTTCACTGCTGCGTTTTGGAAAACGCTGTTCCCTTTACTGGGAACTCGTCTGCAGATGTCCACTGCGGATCATCCGCAGACAGACGGCCAAACAGAGCGCGTCAATCGAGTGCTCGAGGACACTCTGCGCAGTGTGTGCGCGGCAGCGCCACGTACGTGGTCGACGCAGCTTCCAGTTGTTGAGTTTGCGCTCAACAACGCGGTGCACGCGTCCACGGGGTTCACGCCGTTCTACTTGAACGGCTTCCGCCACCCCAGAGTGCCTCTCACTCTTCGAGGAAACACTGACTCCTCTATTCTAAGTGGGGGAGAGGCTCGGAAAGCCCTTTCCTCCCAGGTCTCGGATGTGAGGCCAGTTTCGCTGCGGAAACAGGTGGAATCCTTTATGGATACCAAGCTGAACATTGTCAGCAGGGTCCGCGATGCCATGGCAGCGGCCCAAGATAAACAAAAGGAGTACTCGGACAAACAAGAAAGAGGAAACTTAAGTATATTTGAGATTGGTGACTTAGTGTTACTAGACACGAGGAACCTACCTCTAGACACTGTTAGCTCTGTCGGCAGCAACAAGCTGAAGCACCGCTTCATCGGACCTTTTGCAGTCCTGGCCAGACATGGTGCGTCGTACACCATCGACCTTCCAAAGTCAATGACGACGCACCCGACGTTCTATGTCGGACGTCTTAAGCGGTACTTTTACCCGCAGGGGGTTGCTGACTCGCAGACCCCCCTTGACCCAGCTCCTCGAAGCGAGGGCCGGTCACAGTCGTCGACGAGGGCGTCGGAGCAGGCACCCAAGCCTCGGTCGGGACGGCAAGGCTGCGGTCAAGACCGTACGCCGGAGGGGCTCCATACGAACGGACCCCGGCGCCATACGCCGAGTACGCTGAGTACGCCGGGTACGCACCATACGCGTACGTCTGGGAGTGTGCCGCAGGCGGCTCCGGACGTGGCAACAAAGCCTCGATCCGTCGGATCATGCGAAAGGCCTCGTCCAGATCGGACGAAGAGGCCCGGCGGTCCACCCGCAGGTGCAGGCTCGCGACCTCTCGCTCCACCAGGTCCAGGCGACCCGCAAGACGAGCGAGCTCGCCCTGATTCCCGGCCTGGGCGGCAGCATTACCGCCAGTCCCAAGGCCAAGTGCAATCTCAAGCACGAGGAGACGTTGACGGAGGCGGTCAACCTCAGGGTCCCGTGTCGGACCCGCAGTCGGAGCACTCGAACGAGAGTGGCTCTCGGGAGGCGCCGAGTACTCGTACTCGTACGAGGGCACCTCCGCCCCTGCTTGACCGGAATGGAGAAGTCCACTTCCACGTGGAGCGGATCCTCCAGGAGCAACGGTGTCGCGGGAAGCGACAGCTCCTCGTGAAGTGGAGGGGTTATGCCCACTCCGAGAACTCGTGGGAGCCGATTGAACGGCTCCTGATTGACTGCCCGAAGGCTGTCGCAATCTGGGAACAGAAGCGGCGGCAGCTTCATAAGTAGTCCGGGGCTTCTTGCCCGAACGGGGTACGGATGATGAATACATACCGTACCCGCGCTCATCGTGAGCGCTAGAAGCCGCGCGCTTCAGGATGTCCCTTGGCAGCATACGCTTGCTGATCAAGTGGGCAAACCTCACACGAAGATCACGCTGGTCCAGGATGTGGGACAGCTGCTGATCTTCATGGAGTTCCCATAACTCCGTGGGCGAGTACTTGAGAGTCTCCACCCACGCCCAGAACATGTCCTCACAAGAACTCCATGTGGGACAGTTCTCGGGCATAACTCAGGGGTATCCCCAAACAGGATAGAGACCACCCCGGGTCTCGGGCTTCTTACGACAAGTCGTGAAGTCCTTAAGGGGAATGCGGTGTGGCGCGAGAAGCACACACCGAGCAGCCTCCACGTTGTCGACGACACTGTTCTTTCTGAACAAGGGCTCGTTCATAGATGCTCTAGAAGTGTGGTCGCCCACAAGGCACGAGAGCGACGAGAGCTCTAGAGAGTCAGCCCAGAGCTCTCCTCGGGAGGCCAATACCCTCTTGAGTTGATGGCAGCTCCCTTTTTGACGGGGGCCGCCACCGAACCCCCACGCACACGCTGGGCAGCTTGGAAATCCTCCTGCTGCTGGTCGAGGTCATTCGAGACCTCCCGGGGCTCAACAATGGCACCCTCCTCTTCCTCTTCTTCCTCCTTCTCCTCCTCTTCATCCGAGGAGCCGAAGAGACTCTGATAGGAGCGTCGAGTCTCCTTCTCCTCGCGGAGTGGAGACTTAGAGGCGGTACGCTTCTTTGAGGGCTTGGCGCCTTCGGCTTTAGAGGCCTTAGCGCGCGCAAGACCCTCGGCAAGCGAGAGACGTTTGCGAGGACTCCCTTCCTCATCGCCACCGGCTTTGGGAGTGCCCTTAGCCTTAACGGCCGGACTCTCAGAGCGCACAGAGGTCCTGGGACTGTGATCACCGTGATCACTAGCGGACGACTGCACGCTGTCTTCTTTGTGCTCACTGGGCACTGGGCTGTGCCCTCCCACAGAGCCCGCAGGAGCATCATGAGTGCTCTCGGACTCGGCATCGTCCTCACTGCCCGAGTTGAACTCACGTTCTACGAACCGAGGGTTCGGACGATTGTCTGAAGACGAGGGCGACGGACTGCGGCGCCTGCTTGCGCGCTTGTCCGCAGCCGCGTCACCCGAGGATCCGATAGCCTCGGAGGCCACCTGAGTAGCCTCCTTAAGTGCAGAGCCTTTGCCGTGAGGCTTAGTGCTCTTGGCCTGCGCCTTACCGGCTGCAGCCTTGGAGCGTGTCTTAGCACCGCTCTTAGCAGTGCCACGAGGCATGTTAACGGTCGAAGTGGAGACCTTGACGAAGAGCGCACAGGTTGCTGCTCGAGGCTCTAACTGTAAAGTGAGCCTCCGCCGCGCTCGCGCGGCCGAGTCGATGGTTTTCGACTTTGAGAATGAGAGTTTGTGACGAACATCTCTTCATTCTGATTGGTCGGTAAACCGAACCTAAGTGGGGGAGGATGTAACGGGGTACGTAGCACTAAGTGTACCCTGGTTACATGAAGTGTGACACTTCACACTTCAGGAGTATGACATGTCATACTCCGGGATATTTGGTACAAGGTACCAAGGTCATTCAAAACCAACCATTGGTTAAATGACATTGCATTTCTATAGGTAACTGATAGTTTGTATTAACCACAAACTTAACCTACCTATAAATATACTCAGTTTACAATCTACCTTATTTAGGTCACTTCGCTCTCTTTCATTAAAGAGGGGACCTGTGAACTGCCGTTCACTGAGAGTTTGTATACTCTCGGAAGATAACTTCCTCTAGCGCAAGGTGCTGTGTGACCCCGTCACAGCCTGCCTGTAGACCTGAAGTACATGTAGCTGTATTCGAAAAGTAGCTGTAGCTTAATGTAAAGTGGGATTTCATTGAGTGACGTGAAAGTAGCATGGAACTAAGTAGCTCTAAAGTAAAACTTAATTTCAAATGCTATGAAATTAAGTTCCGAGAAGCGGCCCGTACGCCGCAGCAGCGAAGCAGCAGCCTCCGTGCAAGACGATCATGCTAGGTCTGAGACTTGCAGAACTACCGCCCGAGACAATTCGACCGAGCGGTGTAGCTGAGTACTACTCACGGAGCTTTGTGTGTGTGTGTGTGTGTGTGTGTGTGTGCGTGTGGAGCTTCGTGGTCTTCGCGCACCTTGCGCTCGTACAAGATGGTTGAATGTTCTTGTGATCATCCAACCCTGTCCAGCGCTCTCTACAAGGCGATATTGACACTATTGATGTTGCTGTTAAGGCCACTACTGCTAAGCAACGTGAAGGAACCGAGGAAAGTGGTCAAAGTTCTACGAAGCGTGCGCACGGCGACAAGATCGCTGCCAGTTGTGCTGTGGTGGACACGCCGGTGTCCAGCGCCGCCGTGGTGCCAGAGCTCCTGAACGAACTCACGTACTCTGATCCGGACCCTTGTCCGGGTAGCAGGGCTCGTGTTGAGGCAGACGCGGGTGAACGTACCGGTGGAGACATGGGGTGCAACAGAACTACAGGCGCATGTGACGATAACAAAGAGGCAGAAGGTGCTGCCAAATCTGCGGACGAGGGTATTGATGAGGCCCCTACGGCGGACGAACTGTTAGAAGCTGACCCCTACTTTGTATCTGCACCTACTCGATGAAAAGGCGATATTGTGTTTAGATATTGTGCTGGCTCGATTTACAGTTTATTTTGATATTTCGTCGCGCGCTTTGGGTTCTCATCCATTGTATTTTTAAAAAGGGTATTCTTATTTTTTTATGGTTTTAGCGACTTATCCAACTTGAGGAAATCATAACCTTACGGAATGGGAATGGGAGAGAGAGAACCATGAAAATGATCGCAATGAAGTTTTCTCGATGGATTTCAACGTTATCCATGTGCGCTCTGAGCGTTGGTTTAATACCAAACATAATTATTTGTAGTATTTACTGCAACACAGGCTGATACAAATTCACAGCTACATAAACACATAGTTTGTGTGAGAAGCATGCACAATCGTGAAATTGCCTTGGGGGGGGGGGCTCTACGTTATTTTAGTTTAAGTTTGGGGTTTCTTACATGCCAGAGGTCAGTCTGGTATGAACACTAGACTGGTTACACGAGAAACGCCTGGAAGGCTTTTCATATATGGACACGTTAATGGGCACTACGCATTGCTTTAACTACTGAATGTTCCGCGGACTAAGTACAGGACATCCCTCCGTAGTTTACCAATAGATACACATTAAATCACATGTGGAACACTCCAAAAAAATGTATACTCTGCAAACGCCATCACTGTGCACAGACGTAGAACCAAAAAGATATCTACGCGAGAAAAGCATCGATATCACAGTAATAAAAAAGACGAAAGCAAAATCGTGTATTATAAAAGGAGTTTAGTAAAGACCTCATATCTGCAATCACACACGGCTCTCAAAACATGAAAAGAGCTCAGACATGGCTGTTACACGCAAGCGGTGGGTGCTGGGTCACATGAAGCGCAGAGCTGGTCCGACCAGTGAGGGCGCGTGTACGCACACGCTGAAAGCGAAACAGTAATCGCATGGACACGCTTGTTATAAAAATCGTCTGACCAGCCGCCCCAGAGGGGAATAACGTCAAAACTACTAACTTATTCCAGCATGTTATTTGTAAGTGAGATGAAAGATAGACAACATTGTTTGGTATACGGAAAGGATCCAAATTCAAATCCAAATTCAAATAATGATTGATCCTGGAGCCCATATTCACAAATTAATGTCTTACTTAACGCAAAACATCATTGGCACACCATGGGATATGGTACAGTAAGCTGAGGTCTGACCAAAACTATACTTGATCGCTTTTACTGTAGCATCTGCTACCATCCATTATATCATTATTTTGGCACGCTTCAGAACAATAGCAAGGGCAGTTAGTAAATCTTAGCATTGTTAACCACCCTCCACTTATATTTTTCTATCACGTTCATGTGAGGAAATGTCCTGAAACCGTTTCGGTCCTTGGTAAGAAGTCTGACTCATTGTTTACAGTCGATACTGAAGAAATAATTCCGGACACTATTATTGAAGTTATGCTGTGATTAAAAACAAATTGCGGAGCGTCTTCTTCAACATTACCTTACTTACATGGCGTACGCAAAATAACACTCCGTACTACGTTGCTTCATATCGGAATAATACGACATATTACGAGTTCTAGCCATGTCATGCTTGTGCAGAACCATTCAACAGAGGACATGTTTCGCGCGTCCTCACAAGCGTGTTGCGCCGTGCCAATTCGCACGGACCAAGCCGGTACAATCATCTAGCATACTACACCGATCCATCAGAAGCGTGTAACCATCGTAGCGGTCTATGACACCTCACCAAGAGTCCCCACTTCACTCGACCAAAGAGGCATCTCCGCCGCTGGAAAAGTAGTGAATTTGACTTACCCAATTTGATGCCACTCATTTCACATAATGGATCTACATAATTTGTATAGAGTTAATTTTTGTGTGTGACCCGTTCACATACGACGCTCTCATTGAGTGTTTGCCATGGTTGACCTTCAACCCGGTGTACAGCCATAGAGTGGCCACTCGTACAGAGAGGTCACATCTGTTTGTGCTGCTACCATAACGTGTTGTGTTACTGCGTTTATGGTGCTTAAACGCAATGAAGTGTAAAGCGATAGTTTCTCGATTTTGATGCGATCGAATGCGTTCTACGCTCAATGCAAAGTCTGAATAAATTAAATAGCCTCAAATCACAGCCGGTGGAGCAATCACTTGACATTCTCACTTTTGCGTGAAAGTAGGGCGAACATGATGCAGTTTAGGATGTGAGTATGTCAAACCCAAGAGGAAGCACTCACGTTCAATGAGTGCTTCAGGTCAAATGTAAATCTCATCCTAAATTTGCTGAATATAAACGGGTTATAGACAGCTTAATCTGCATGATAGCTATTACGAGGTTGATCGCTGTCTCTTGCGAGAAACTGGAGCTTCATTTGTAAACGGCGCCCCCGGCATTTATGCTTTACGACGGACTCGAATTGACTTCGCGTCTTCCACAGAAACTTGTGTGTAATTCGCCATTTCCTTGTGCCAGATATCCCAGCAGGTCATGCCCCCCCCCACATTTCGCCGAGCACGCATGCAGAGGAAGTTTGACCCCACGTCGTTACAGTCGCCACAAATGTATGTCGTCGTAGATGCTCGCTTAGTGTCATCGCGAAGCGTAGAGCAAACCTTGCATGCTCTCTGGCGGCACTTTGCCTTCATCGCGCCATTCGTTCACCTGTCATGCTGCATCCTTTGACCGTTGATTAGGGCCGACAGGAATATCTTCGTAGCTTGGTCCAGCGGAAGGAAGCTGGGTCCCGAAGGTGTTGCCTTCGTACATGTCAGTGGCATGGAGCTGTGTGAGCTGTAGATGGAGCTTGATCATGTACTTGACGTGCGCCAGTGGCTGTGAAGTCGTGTTCTTGTGGTACATGTTGTGGGTGAAGTAGCCGTTGACAATGGCTAGATTTATCATGCCCAACACCAGGGACTTGTAGTATTATTTTAAGCAAAGTGCGCGCTGTAGAGAATATCGTTGCAATCGCAACTGGTCATGTACATCGACGCCTCCCATATAAGCACGGTAGTCTTTCACCACGCTCGGACACGGAACCTCCACCTTCTCAGCCCCATCCTGCCGTCCCACTATGTCAATCTCAGTGCTTCCTCCAGTACATAGGAAATGCTCAAGTCTGGAATCCCACCAGCTAACTGTCATAATTTTTGGCACAAATGGTGAATATGCAATTTGAAAGAACCACGCAGAGTTGTTGGTGGTCGACTTTTCCTCTTTTCAATGACTTCCTTGTAGTCCCCCAGTCGGTTCGTCACAATGGTGCCCACGCAGTAGAAGCCCATATGAAGATGCTGAATAGCCAGCGCGACCGACGTGTAGAAGCGGTCAGCAACAGCCAGCCCCACCCCTTGTTTCCGCGCGTCTTGGCCAAACACCTCCAGTATGCTTCGCACAACGGCAGCGGGTCCTTACTTTTGTGCATCACTGGCATGTTATTTCTTACCGCAGCAGATCTCAAAGCTGCATATATTCACCATTAGGAGACCAAGCAATAGTTAGTAAACTACATAATTTAGTTTATACAGCTTTGAGAGAAAAAAGAAGATTCGCGTACCGAATGCAGTACGCGATGGCTGCACAACAAAGAATAAAGAGCTTTGTGTCCAACTTGTGGGGCTTATCCTTTATGTACACGCGCATCTTGTTGAACGATGAACGGCTTGGTAGCACAGCTTCATCGAACAACAAGCAAAGTGGCGCAACAAACACACGAACAAACGTCCTTTGAAGCACCTCCACCACCTTCCTTATCTTCCACGCACGATCAATTTGTGCTCGAGAGTCTTGATGCAAATTGAAGTGCATGTTTCTCGATAGCTCCATGAACCAATCCCGTGATAACACCGAGCCTAATCATCCTCGCGCGATCGCACCAACGTCAGTCGTCTTTCAGTGGTTGGTCATCTTCACGCGGTTCAGGGCTATATTTCTGGCAATCATCAAGCCAATAAAGCTGCAAATTTCGTGCGGAATAATAGCCTGCATAGTTTCCAGCTCATTTTGAATGTCTCGGCGGGTCTTGCGGGGCAGATTAATGTTTTGGCGTTGTTTTTTTCGGTAACGAGAGTAAATGGCGTCAATCCGTAATGGTAGGATCTCTCGGTAGTAAGCATTCAAACGCACAGCAATATGTTGCCACAAACCCACCGGCAAAAAGTAGAAAATTGTGTGTTAGGAGCGTATCCATGACGCAGAGCGTCCACACAAGGACCGGAGTAACCTTGTCTTGGACCTGGATAGCTGCCTGAATTGATGACGGGCTCATACGGACCCATCATTCTCGTGGATATCCGGCTCCACGGTATCTTCACATCCCGCTGTCGACATGATATGCAAGACCGGATTCTTAATATTACCGGCCAGAACTTGATCTGCTTAATCAAAACTTTTCATAACGCTCTCGTCAAACAGTACGTCTTCAGCGATTTCTGCTTCCGTCCCATCCACATCAGCCAGAAGATCCGCTTAGGCTATGAATGCATACACGCTTTGGACAGAGTCATATTCTCCTAGATCAACATCACCCCTCTCGGCTTCATCCCCCGACCCAATTGCTTCGTACTGGTCTGCGCCACCGCTCGATTCAGCAACGCTCAAGTCGTCGTGTGTGTCCGCCAGCAACTCACTTCGCAGTGCGTCCTACTCATCTTTAATGCCTTCACCACGTGCCACACAAAAACATAGTCAAGCTTTTGCACCATTTGTTTTTGCAAATATGCCTCTTAGCGCGCAATATACTTTGCAGCATATTATGCAACATACCAGTGGGGACTTCAGCAGAATCCTCATTATCGACCTCCTCAGGGCTGGAAGCCAAATCATTATCTTCGATTTCGAATGCTTCATCCGCAACGTGTGTGGTGGCTGCGATAGGTGGGGAAGCCGAACTTGAACGGCACGGCGAACACGGAGGGGTGGCTCTGAAGCTTGCAGTCGTCGCTACAGAGCGACGAGCTGGCTGGCGAATAGTACGGCGCTAAGGGCGTAGAGAAGCTTGGAATAGCTGTGGCGGCTCACGAGTGGCAGCTTCAATGTAAATTTCAAACAGCAACAACAATGTCAGACTTTCATCATATTATGCTACATGTCGGTCATCATTACATTCAGCACAGCATGCAAGTTTACATGAAGCATTAATTGAAGCAACACTTTCACTAGCTGCTGTTTCACGAGCAACAGCGGCTTCAATATCAGGTAAGTAGTTCTGCCTGACGACGTCCTGTGCAGCGGCAAGTTGATCGGCCGCGGGATCACTAGACGCACAGACAGCGGCGGCGCCCGATGGAATGGTTTCCCGTGCGCGACTTCGCAGAACTATGCATGAAAAGTAAATGTTAGCAAACGTGTTAATAGCTGTAGTCGCTTGAGACATACCATCTGCGTAGAAGTCAAGCACGGCTTTTTCTCCCAAGAAATAATCGAGACCAACTGCGCCGTTGGGATGACCGTCGGAGCGGATATACTTGTAGCGATCGTCCAAGCTGGTGCGTGTTGGTGGATTTTTTGTCCACCCCTCTTGTCTTAGCTCGCGTCATACTGACTTGAAGGACAGGCCGCGGCCCGTGACTTCGATGTCTCGCGGTACCCCTCCGCGCGGCTTCACCATTGTTGCTTTTGGAGCGCAAATTTACGAATGATGCAGATTTGGAAAGGGCGGCAACAGCCAGTGGCTCTCAGCCACTCAACACGTGCCAGTTAAATGAGATTTCCGATGCAAATCATTTGCATTTCACTGATACCCGTCAAAACTAATTGTTGGAATTTAGACAAAAACGACCCTCCTAACCCTTCTGTTCACATATAGGCTCGTACAGGAACAACACGATTGCTTAACATAAAGTTTGGAAACCCCTTGAACGGGGGAAAGGGCGCTTATACAAATTTTAATTTAAAAATCGCTTAAGGTGAATATATTCAGCTTAAGCGGAAAGGTCATGTAACATTATGCTACATCCGGTCTGGAGGGATTAAAGCGGTAAAAGGTTCATCTCACATGGTCCCAGTATCTAGTTTGCATTACTTCCTTTTTAAATATGTGTTTAAAGTTGAAGATCTCAATTTTGAAGGGTATATTTTGAATTTTTGGGTACATCATTTTTATTTTTTGGGGTATTTGGGTATAGGATGGAAGGATCATTCTGATGTATTGCTAACATTCCACGAATTGACCTAATTATCTTTCTTTGCGCGCTTTCGGCTTCGGGTTCCAGTCTTGGGCTGCGCTGGTGTAGCTTTCAACACGTTTGCACGGCCTTCATTCCCTTCTTCACTTTCAACCGGGGCAACCTTCGCCTCATCAGAAACTGCAGCGTCTCTCTTTTTTTTTTTGGCACTTGCGTTTCGACGTGCCTGCTTAGCCTCCTTCGCGAGGCGCTCTTCCTCATCCGTAGGAGCTGCGTACAGGGGATCCGACGCAAACTCGGAAGGGACGTACGGTCTTACCTGTGTTGTACATTTGCTGCTTTTTCTCGAAATTCTGAGGCGGTGGTTGTAGAGGCTCTAAGTACGCAGCTAGCAGAGTTTGCACTTTTGCGGCGTCTGTCTGTATGCCGTCAAACGACCGGCAAAACTTTTTTTTATAGCAAGAATGAACACAATCTTTTATTAATAATAAATATAATCGAAAACTCAACACGTATTTATAATATACATGTAGCAAAAGTTGACTGTACATGTACACGGTATTAATTCGAACGCTCAGTTCCCTGGGCATTGACAGTTTATATTTGTCCTTAGAATGGGATAAGATCGTAGGGCATAGAAACCGAATCCAACAGTGCACGCAGGCCAGAATTTAACCGGTTTACAATTTGATATTATAGTACTTAGAAGTTCCCAAGGCAGCGTGAACGGCGTCTAGAAAAACAACCAGAAGTCACATGTTTTTATCGTCGTTGATTGCTGCCAGCCTAAAGCTTATTAATAGCGAGCGCCAGGACTTCATTGCAATATGTAGATCCTGGTATGCTCCATTGTTTTCACCAGACATTAACAACACATTTTTTTCATTTACAATTAAGTATTACAAGTAAATAACTAAAGTTCGAGCAAATACATCAGCAAAGATGATTCTTAACATTATCGTATCAAGCGAAATATTAAACGCTCTATTCCTGGGAAAGTGTTAGCAGGGTTCTAATAAATCACTGTTTTAATTTGGAGGATGAGCTACCAGTTATTACCGGTAAATTAATCCATCCTTCACAGCCTCGTTGATCTTTCCCACAAACTTGCTGGGGTCTTGCGGATCCTGTCGAGTACATGCTTTTATAAAAAAATGTAATTACATTACATGTACCGAGTGCGAATTTGAGGATCAACACACCGTATGAAAGTCTTTGCGGCAAATTGCCACAAGTTGAGGCTGAGGGAGTACGTCCCCAAATCATCGCGATCGTATCGTATGCTACGTGGAAGCAGAGCATGGAAGATAACAATAGAGTAGGCAGATAGAGTGTTGTGAAGTTGCCGCGTGCCCATCTGACCTTAGCGCTCTGCCAAGAATAAGGCGTGACTGGCTCCTAAAGCAACATGCGGCGTGCGGGCAGGCGAGCAGCAATTTTTGATGAGCCGCTCCTCATTCCCAAATCTACTCGCCCTCGAGCAGATTACTTTCTTCCTCTTCGTCCCAGGCCGTCTCCGACAACCTAGACAAGCCCCTCTCCGCTACCATGGTCTTCTCGCCTAGCACCTACCTCGTTTCGGCCGCTGTCGCGTGTGTGGCGCTGCAGATGCAGCAAGCATCAGCTGGATCGCTGTTCTACGGTGTCACGACTGTCGCTAAAACTCAAAACGAGATCACGGACAAATCTCCGTTCTACGGTTCTGATGTGGCTGACCAGGACTGCGCCATTCAAGTGACAGTCGACCCGACGCTGCCCAACATCACCACAATTCTACCCGAGCCGGTGGAGTACCCGGACCTGCTAGCCAACCTCACCACGGCCCCCGCTGACCCCGTGTTCACCAAGGTGGGCGAGGCTGATGTGTCGGAGGACTGCCCCACTAAAGATGCCGACCTGGATGCTTACCTCGACTCGACTATCCCGTGGACTAACACGGGAACGCCCACCAAGATCGGCGTCGAGACCGTCAAGGACTGTGCCACCGGTTGGGATGACACGGCTATCCAGGCAAAGGTTGAGAAGAAACGTCGCCTTGAGGCCAACGGAAACGCGGACATCGCCAAGCTTGAGGCTTTCTTCGGTACCAAGATGGAGATGACGTTGAAGGACCTGCCTACTCAGGCTGTTCACACGCCATCGCCGTGGGCTGGTCCGTACTGGCCCACGTACCAGGACAGTATCAACGTTGTCTGGAGCCAGGGACAGCCCAGTCCTGCTGAGAAGTACGCCAAGGCTTTCGGGAAGGACGTGACGGCCTTCATGGACGCAGTGTCCAAGAAGAACGGCATTGATTCGCACAGCGGTCGCAAGAAATGCACGTCGAAAAATGACTGCGCGTCCCTCACCGACGGCAGCGAGTGTGCCATTCGTCCTGGCAAGAGCTCGGGCTACTGTATCCCGACGTGGTTCGGTATCTGCCACGCCTGGGCTCCAGCCGCCATTCTGGAGGCTGAGCCTAACTGCCCTGTTACGTACAATGGCGTGACGTTCCAGCCCATGGACCTGAAGGCCCTGATTTCGTCGGTCTACGACGGTGCTCGCGTGGCGACGGTGTTCACTGGTGCTCGCTTCAACGGTGGTGAGGACTCCACGGATGAGTACGGCCGTCACTCCAGCAACGCGTACCGTGACTTGAACCCTGCCTACTTTCACATTGCCAATGGCAACATCTTGGGCAAGCTGAACTCCACCTACGTTGCGGATGTGACGGCTGGTGCTGAGGTGTGGAACCAGCCCGTGCGTGGCTTCAAGGTGTACGAGCAGACAAAGATGTCACTGAAGAAGGCTGCCCAGACCTTCTACGGTCTGCAAAAGTACCCGTGGAACTCGGCTGCCAAAAGCATTGTATACGTCAAGTCGCGTCTCTCGTGGATCTTCGAGACGTACACGGACGGCGGTCTGGTGTCTTCGGGCGCCATCAACCAGTACACTACCGGACAGTACTACCACTACCTTCTCGAGTTGGATTCTGCTGGTGAGATCATTGGCGGTGAGTGGGTCTACGGCTCTGATGACGACCACCCGGACTTCCTGTGGCTCCCCAAGGCGAAGCCAGCTGCTAACACTGTGACAAGCATTGGTTTGAGCTACGCGGACGTTAGCATGCTGCTGCAGAAGTCGCTGTCCTGCTAGGCATAAGGATTGTGTGTCTGGGCAGAGAATCGCTAAAGAAAGACCATTGTTTTTAAATCAGTAAAAATAGAAAGATGCCGTCTTAGAGCTTTACTGTGATCTACATGTTCTTTTATCCGCAAAATGGACATCTGAAATACCGAAATGAGGCTAGAGGAAGAACATTTTTATGCAATCTCTAAACTGGCATTTTAAAGTTGTTTTTGGTTTCAATTTCACTTTTAGAACCAATCGTTGGTGTCCAACAGAAGCTTCGGCCGGAAGCATGATGGTCTTCCTGCCCCGCTCGAGCAGCTATAACGCAACGCGAAGGAATAGCTCTGTAAAGGAATACATATCAACTATCAGGGTGCCAGAGAAATAATCATCAGTTGCCGATAGGCATTTCGGCAAATCGTTCGATACGTTGGAGGGCGTCCGAGTCGGACGCCCTCCAACGTATCGACAGCATTGCGACGTTTTTGACAGGGCAAGCACAACTATGGGCACTATTCGGTGCAAACAAAACACGCAGGCTACTATCGAGATCAGCTGCACAACACGCAGCGCCTTCTTGCAGTCCTCGTTTACATTGATGGCGTCAGCAGCTCCATGTACATGTTCGCATCATCATGTGTTGGCATGCCGAACTTGATATCAAGCGTGACGAACTCGACGTGACGTCGATGGCGTTATTCTGACGAGCTTTTAGCTGCAAATCGTGATTCTGATTGTACACCTTTGTGCACTCAAATTCGCTCTAAACGGCAATCAAATCCGTGATGAACAATTCAATTACGTAAATTTCTGAGTTTCAATTACCAAATCTGCAAACAGACTGGTTTTTACTGCACACAAATCCGTACATTACGTGCCGTACTCCATAGCCTTCCCGTCCGCTGCTGCATTTACCGCTTTACTGCAATGCAGTTCCATTCGGGAGACCAACACAGGCGTTATCCATTTCATGTTGTGTTTCGCAGTCCTTTCCAGAAGACGCATCTGCCGCTCAGCAACGGAGAGGACCTCTTGGTTTTGGTCCGGATCCCGAGTGCGGTCGCATACCTCATCTCGGAATATCGCCAATTCCGTCTTGATATGAGCCTTCAAAACGCTGAAGCACGCTTCGATGGGGTTGCACATTGGGGAGTACGGCCCCAAGCGCAGCAACTCCATGTCAGCGTGCTTAGTGACGCGATCCTCGGTCTGACGATGCGCAGGAGCATTGTCCATGACGATCACGACCATTTTGCCCTCATAGTACATCCTAAACTCCTCAGACGCCTTGACAGCCGCGTAAATCTCCTCCACAAAAGCAGCATTCTTGTCCATACGAATGCTGCCTCGTTGAAGTCGGTAGGTGACGAGTCCAATGCTGGACGACACAGCACACTGCACCTGCAGGCTCGCGCCTTTCGAAGGCGGCAGCTTCAGGACAGCACGCTTTCCTCGCTTAGCGCGTCCTTTTTTACGCTTCAAGTGCATATTAAAATTGGTTTCGTCATAATACACAATACAGTTACCTTGTTCTTGGTGTTCTTTGAGCTGTTTAGCAAAGGCTTGGCGCTTTAACAGATTGACTTCACTGTTGCAGGCTGTAGGCTCGACACGCACTTGCTTCACAGTGTACAGCATGCCGATGAGGTGACGGCTGATGGTGGCTGTGCTAACCTTCACGCCACAATCGAGAAACAGCATTGTACGCAAGGTTTCGAGGCTGTACGTACAATTTTCGTTAAGGTACTGCTCCAGATACGTTTTAGCCTCCTCCGTCATCTTGGAATGCTTCATGCCACCACGGGGAAGATTTTCAGCTCGCCCTCGAGCAATTAGGCTCGAGCAGTTGAGGGGGCAAAACCATTGTTCGCAGCCACTTGGAGCCAATCTGGGAGTCCGGACTGGTACGCTTCCAGGACACGCTGCTTTTCAGCAACAGTTTGATGTTTGTAGGGGGGCATCTGCGTAGTTGAGAGTGAAACGAGAAGTGAGAGTACGTCGGCTGACATTGTCTTGGACGCGCTGTTTTGGCGCGAGCGCAGCACAGCCTTTAATTTTGGCGCGCACGAGTTTGTGTGCAGTAAAAACGAAATTGTTTGCAGATTTGGTAATTGAAACTCAGAAATTTACGTAATTGAATTGTTCATCACGGATTTGATTGCCGTTTAGAACGAATTTGAGTGCACAAAGGTGTAGTGGCCTCTCTCATGGCGGCAATCTAGTCCTTAAACAGCCACCACGAAGCCGCGCTTGGCTCAGCGCCTACGAAGCCTGTAGCATATCGTATTTATTTATTTATTTAGACGCTCAAAACAAAACTGAAAGTAAAATCGTCGGCGATTATAATAGGGTTCGACGGGCACATTTTAGTTTCATTTTTGTGGCTTCGATCTAAGATTCGCTTCAGTGTATATTGTTACTGAAAACACCATTTTCCAGACTAAAATACACCATTTCCAGATCAAGGTGGCAATAAATCTTGAAATGGCGTGTCAGTGTGAATTCTAATTTAGGTCTGCGTGTCGACTCCATTTTTATGCGATTAGCAAATAATTTTTTTTCAAGACTCGCATTTTTGCCCATTGCAATTATCGATTAACCCCTGAGTGGTACATCCCTTAGACTCAGGCTTTTATCATGCGGCTCACAGAGCGGGGCCAATTAGAGCGCTCATTTGCGGAGAGGGATCCGGGCTCGGACGTGACACCCCCTCTCGACCCGCGGGGCCATTATGCGGAACGGCACGGGTTTACACAAATCTTTCGTGTCTCAAACAGTCGCAATGAGTGATTATTGGGCTCTCGTGCTGTTCCTCACTTCCATCCCGACTTTGCTAGCAAGTTGCTAGCCCGCGGGGGCATTATGCGGCACGGCACGAATTTACACAAATCTTACGTGTCTCAAACAGTCGCAATGAGTGATTATTGGGCCCTCGTGCTGCTCCTCACTTCCATCCCGACTTTGCTAGCAAGTTGCTAGTAGCAACCACGCCAGGTGCATCTCTCCGATGTCGTTGATAGCGTCCGCAACCATCCGAACAATGCGATAGAAGGAAGATTTACTCACACCGGCAACTTGTCGAGCATCATGCATTGATCCGCCTGCTAGATATCCCAGTGTCAATTGAAGAGCATTGTCCACAGTTATCCACCCTCTGCACACCCAAGCGTGCGGCGATAGCAATAGCCTTGGAGCCAACAGATCTTCTTCTTTTGTAAATGTTGCAGCTGGCATACGGTAGCACGCCTCAAACTGAGACTCGGTCAACAGCAAGTTGAGCTCGAGGTCCCACTTGAGCTTGGCGCGAACGGTGAACGGCTTTCAAGGGCGTAGAAGCAGCGCCGACAACAGCAATGCGACAGAGATGGCTTCTTCTGTCTGCATCTCGTAGAGTGATTGCCACAAAGCATATTGTGAGATCTACTCCAAATTTCCCCTTCAATCAACCGCCAGCAGATCGCCGAGCCGAGGATACAGACTTCTTAATATGAATCATGACAGGAATTTGGTGTGTGCACTCAACGAACAAAGCATTCCAAAAGCGCGCGTCATGGTAGTCGGGGGCGGCAAATAACCCGGTGCCGGAGGAAGCCAAGGCAACCTTGCTACGGCATCCTCCCAAAGAGCACCTAGAAGAAGAACGACTACAAATCGCGCATCCCCATATTCTATGCGTACCCCACCGACAAGAAGATCATCGAGGCTTACTCCTCCGGAGACACCTCAACTACGAGCAGTTGCTTCTGCTTTTCCTCGACTACTGGAGAGTTCGCCAAGTCTGGATTGAAACCGTACTTTGATGGAGACGACTGTATGTCATACCCCATCGCCTCCCAACACACAGCCCAGCCGGCTCCGAAGATCTCCACGGTTGGCGTCATTCACGAGCGAGGCTAATGAATCCCCAAGTGGTTCACATCAGCCGTCACCGACATCACCGGGTCGTTCGCTTCCTACACGTACGTCGCCGCGTCTCGCTGAACAACCACCCGGCAGCGAAAATCGTCCAAGTAGAGATGAAGGCGCACAGCACACGCTGGTTGTGTGAACTTGCACTCCCACTGGAGGTCACAATTCTCCCACTGGCCTTGGCTGCACTTGCAGCAGCAGTCGAAGGCCCACCAGACGCACACACAACTCCCACTGGAACAGCATCGGCTTCAAGCATATCCAAGTTTGTTGGAACTAGTCCAGTAGCAATAGTCGTAGTATAAGTCTCCATTGTAGTCTTAATCTGATCAACAGGCACTGTCGATGATAGTTCATGGTCACATCCTTGGTACACGCTCTCCAGCAAGTGTTTCACATAGTCTCCATCCGCAGTGAATGCTTCGTGAAAGCGAACATTACCTCCCTGCGCAGTGATCACCTGGCAAGTAGACACATCCATGAACTTGTAGCCTTTAGTTGAGCCGCTGTAACCCAACAATAAACTCAGTCTTGCACGTGAGCTCAGCGTTTCCTTCCTTTGTCGAGACTCCGGTGGAATGCGAACCCACGCAAGACACCCCCATGTCCGCAAGACACTGAGGTCTGGTACCTCTCCATACAGCTTGGAGTTTGGCGACACAAATCCAAGTGATGTAGTAGGCAACACGTTCAACGTGTGCACCACATGCAGCAGTGCCTCACCTCACAGCAAGTTGGGTAGGCGCGTAGACGTTAGCGTAGCCCTGATTCGTGGCAACACAACACCATTTGCACGCTCTGCAATGCCCTTTTCTTGGGGCGCATATGCGTTCGTGAACTGCTGAATGACTCCACGTTGTTCACAGAAATCTCGCAATTCATTACTGGCAAATTCACCACCCTGGTCAGCATGCAGTCGCTGCACACGATAGTCTTTGAACTGAGTCTGCAACTCATTCAATAACTTCATGATAAAAGCAGTAGCTTCACTCTTCCTTTCAAGCAAATACACCCACTTAAATCTGGTTGCTTCATCGATCACAAAGATAAACATCGTTGCTCCACTCGCAGTAGGTTCAGTCATTGAGCAAATGTCCATCACCAGCATAGATAGTGGCTGCAGCTTCCGCACCGGTCGCCGCGCATCATGCATCCTCTTAGCTTTACTTGAATTGCACGCAACACAGTCGTAAGAGCTCAGATCTTTT